AATATTTGGCTAGCATCAGAAAATTCTGCAAACACAGATAAAAAAGAATAAAATACAATTTGTCTCTTCCATATTTGATCTTAGTCCTAATCAAATATTTATTGTCTCTATTTTTCCAAAATACCATTTATCCTTATCATATATTCCAGATTTATCACATAAAATGGAATCTACAAACAATACTTTACAACTTAATGATACTTATCCTAATGCCCCCAAAATACTTTCTAGTCATCAGCAGGCAACTTACTTTTGTGGGATCTTGTCATTTTATCAGACTTGAGAGAGGAATCCTTGACACGGTTATGGTATTCTACAAGGAATGTTCTTTCATGTTCAAAAAAATCATCTACATCCTGCATGCCAAGATACATCAGAAGTAAGCAGAATAATTTGAAGAGAAGCGATTTATTTTTATTGAACAAGTTAAAATGTAACTGCCTCAAGATAAAAAAGATCAATTGTAGAAACAGCAGCTACATATCCATAATTACAGTGATGCTTGGTAAATTCCCAATTTTAACACTCAAAAAAAAACCCCAGAGTAGCATTTTAATACACTGATATTTAAAATATTTCTATGTCACTAAAGCTCAAATAAAATAACACCAGACACAACAATTCTGATGAAATGGGATTGTAGAGTTCAAAATTGTTCTCTAGCATAACCATTGACAGCTGCAAATTTTCAGCCCATCTGAAGAACACCAAGTTGGGAAAAGCAGAAAAAAATATTTTAACCCAGCAAGCTATGTAAGATATAAGTATAGAAAGGGAAATGATTTGTAATTATATAAATATGAAAATATTTATTCTTTTGTGTTTCCCCCACAGTTTTACATCTAAAAACTTGGAGAGCAAGAATCCATTTTGTCTTACAGGAGTCATGCACCAATTACATGGTATAAGTAGAATACTTTTGAATGACAATGTTTGGAAATGTTCCTACTTGCATAGAAGGTTAGAGGAAATGGTGGAGAACAACTTTTAATGCAGGGGTCCCCACCTATGGGCTGTGGCCTGGTACTAGGCTGTGGGCTCTTGGCCAGCAGGCCGCGGAAATGGCTGACCAGGGTGCGCACGTGTGGATGTGCATTCCTCCCACTCACGCCCGCAGCCATTTGCGTATGCGTGTGGGTGCAAACGGGGACACTAGTGTGGGTGTGTGCCCGCACCCCGTTTGTGCATGCGCAAATGGGCCACTAGCCCTGGGGGTGTGTATGCGTGGCCCATTTGTGCATGTGTGAATATGCGCTAGCCGCGGGGTGCGTGGCGGTTCATGCATGCGCACAGTGCCAGCGCATGCGTGAACTCGGCTGCTAGTATTGTGCCAGTGGGCGTGGCCCCATTTGCGTGCATGCACATGCAGTAATTTGGAAGCTCTCCCCTCCGGACCACGAGCCCGGAAAGATTGGAGAACTCTATTTTAATGTATTAGTAATTTGTGAATGAACATACCACTTGGGAGAGATTGCCCATAATATATTTTTAAATTTCTAAGTATTTCCAATGACCTGTCAAAATTGTAGATCCTTAGACTGAGAATGCCATTTAGCCCATGTAATTTAAGCTGCAGATATAAAATGAGAAAATTCTGAAATTATTATTACTTTGGCAAGCATTTCAAGATTAGATGGATAGATCTCATATGGAAAAATATATGTCTCATTTCTGCAATAGCCCAAAGGAGTAAACAGAATCATTCTGAAATTTCTATATCCAGAACAGAAAGCAAGTTTCGATTCCTTCAGGAAAGCCAAAAAGATCCAGCACTGCCAGAGGGTTCCTCACTCAAGCAAGGTCCCCCAGAAATTTCTAACACTAGATATATTGCAAACCAATGGTGTGTTGGAAAGAGCTACTCTTTGTATACAACAGTTGTCTGTAAATTACTTGAGATATATTCCTCTTGCAAATTATTTAAATTTATATCATTCAATACTCAGAAATGGCTTTAAAATTGCTTAAAGATTACCTTTACTCCTGAAACAATGACACCATCAGCAGATTTAACCATGTTTTTAAAAAAGTCTTCAAGTTTCTCTTTCTTATTTTTTCCCCGAACACTCAACTGAAATAGAGTAATGCATAATGTAAGTTTACTTTTTTCAATTCAGGGATATTTTTGTTATTACTTCAAAGCAGTTCTCACTAAAGATAAACTAGAATGTTGTATCATTTTCATTTCTACCTTTGTATGGTAAAATTTCATTCACTACCCAGTTACTGTGGATTTTGAGGTGTTTACTTTCTTATTTATTAGATGCATTTCTAATGTATTAAATTTCTTCCAGGAACTCAAGGTAATTTAATTGGCTAGCTCTCTTCATTGTACCCCATCACAACTTGTGAGTAGGCTGGACTGGTAAAAGAGTGACTGGCTTAAAGTAAGTCAGTGAGTTACTTACGACTGATGTGGACTTGATGTCCCAACTGATTTTTTTTTTCAATATTTGTATATCTATCCTAATTTTGTACTGTGTTGCATCTTTTTCAGGTTTTTGGGTGCCAATAGTTTGTTCTAATACTTGAAATTTGCTAGGAGTAAAAACTGGGTAAAATTTATTATTATTAATACATCCAAGTAAATAGGACATTTAATTTAGTAGATGACTAGGCCAGAAAACTAACATGGTTTTTACGTTCATATTAAATACTTTAGAGATAGTTGTATATTTGAATTTCAATTTGACTTTTTAGAAAGCATGTATTCTAGATAGCTGAAATATTTCAATGAAAAATATGTATTATATAAAACATTGTATTTTTTAAAATATATGACTGCTTTTTAAAAAGTCATCATTACTGATGGACTATGGTCTAGTGCAGCCTTCTCCAAAATAAGTACCCAATCACCTATTTGTGGATTTCTAGGTTTCTGTAGCAATCATGGAAGGTTAATCAAACATTTTACTTCATGACTAAAAACATGCTTCTGGAAATCTAATAGAGTACGAAGGCAACTGCATTCTATTATGACTGCATACCAACAACTGATAAATAGAAACAGCTACCTCTTCTATAATTACATTGACTAGCAATCATTAATCTATGTAATCCTATTTTTAGAAACTAATAACCATCACCAAATTCAATAATATCAATACTCAAATTTTGAATATACATTAGTAAAACAGTACTTTAGCCTGAATTTATTGCTAATCAATGTTAGCTGATGATCCCCAGTTCTAGAATTTGGGGAAAAAATATGTTATTAACATTCTCTTGATTGCGCATATGTTAAACTGCTAGCAAGTCTTGCTTTAGAATACAAATGCATATAAAACTGCTTCAGTTCTATCATTTGGCTATTGGGTTTCTGTAAATGTTCATTAATACATCCTTTGAAATGACTTCAACAGAAATGTTCATTTCAAATGTGATTTCTCAGTAGATATTAGAGAGAAGTATAGTACTACCCATCTAGTCATATCTCGTTATTCATGGTATTCTATAAAGTTGCCAAAACACTGACTCAGTGAATACTGATCTTCAGCTGGGGACATGCAGATTTTCTCCCACTCTGTGCATGTTCACAAATAAAATATTGGTTTTGGGGTTTTATGGTTTATTTTCGTTTTATTTTATGGAATCCCGAATAATGGAAGATCAACGGCATTTCGATTTCTTTATACTACCCAAAGAGACATTTTCTGTTTTGTCATTTCCACACAATTATCATGACTCAAAATCTTTTTATCTGGAAAATACAAAGTTAGAAATTCCCCTCCCTAATGATATCCCATATTTATGCCAACTTTCACTTGCTGTTTTATTACCAGTTCTCCCTATCTGAGAAACCATTTTGGCTCTCACATTAACTTTGCATTATTATGAAAACACAAATGAATGCTACACACTTCCAATTTCACTGTTAGCAACTTCTCTACTTCCTCGGGGAGCTGTCCTCCTTGCTATCCTTTACTGGAAAAGCTGTCAATGATTTCTCTCTCTTCATCTTTTGCATTTTAACCTCTCTGATTCCTAAGAGAATGGTTCTTATTATTCTTATCAAAGTTTGATCTCTGTAAGGAACATACCCAATAATTTTTAGAACTGGCATATCCTTTTTTTTCTTCAAAAAAATTATTGAATGGGACAAGAGGTCTTACTGCAGAGATCATGCTGTTCTTTCTTCATGAAGACTTGTTTTTAGATGCTAATTTTAGCCAACATGTTCACATATTTTAAAAGGAAGAATTTATATACCTTATGTTGAATTTTATTTAACAAAAAGCACCTAATTCTAAAATGAATGCAGTACTCTACAATTTTTCAATATTATGAATATATTGTTTTCTGAATAAGCGTAGATGGTTTTTATGACGTATTTCAGTACTCACATCCTGATTATATTCCAAGAAGACATGGAAATTTAAATCCTTCCTCAAAATGGGATGAGCAGCTACACGGCATAAGAAGACTTCATGCATAGCTACTGTCTTTTTGAAGATTGCCAAGTATTCCCTAAATATGAAAAGTAATATTATTTTGTAAAAGTGCTTCTGCATGAAAAACAATAGATTTCAACAAAATGGTGGTTAGTTGCATTTAATTAATTAAAATTAATCAAACTAAAGAGGAATTTCGAACAGGCTAATAGAAAGACCACCAGTTCTTTGTAGGGCAGGGGTGTCAAACTACTGGCCCACGGGCTGGTTGCATCATGCGGAAGCCACACCCACCCCAGTGCCGACAATGCTAAAAAAGTCACAATATGTCACGACACATCATGTGGAAAGTTTGACACCCATGTTGTAGGAGAACTAAAGGACAGTTTCCTTCTCTTAAATTCTCACTATTCCCTAACAGCTGAGAGTAAACATTCAGAATATCCAACTATTGTTCCTTTGCTGACAAAAGGCATTACTCAGCAGAATGAAGTAATTTCTGTCATTTTTCTTTTTCCAGGACCCCCACAACTCTCTCCTATAAGAGATATTAGGTCAGATTAATGACCAAATATCATTTTCCTCCTTATTCTGACAATGCTGGAAGCTGGTTTAATAGCCCCTAAATTACCTTCATAAATGAAGTACTTAACAGTGAAAGAAGTCAAAAGCAGAATCAATGAAAGAAATGGCACAATACAACTAGCATTAAACTAGCTCAATGGTTGCCTATCAGAGAGCAGGACTTCTAGAATTCTCAGAAAAGGTTATATACTGTCAGGCATTCTGTAAGAAGAAGTCCACATACCTGGAAAACAAGCAAGCTGGGAAAGGCAGAGTTAAACTGAAATACAAAGATGCCTTTAAAAGATGCATCAAGCAAGCAAAACAAGTGCTACTAAATTAGCTTAACTACCTTAAAATGACTGTCATAATCATGTATTTTCAGGTATGTAGAAATTAAAAATGCATATACATTTCATTTTTCCTGTCATATATAAAATAGGAAACTGATCTTTTAGAAGGAAGTAATTTTCTCAGTCCATTATAGGTAGTTTTCGAATTTCAATCAGTCAAATCTTCCATTATTTTAATACAGGCAACATATTCAGCAGTCATAGGTAAATACGTCAATGTGCCTGAAACCTCTAGAAAGATTTGGAGTTGTAAATATAAAAAACTATGCACATACGCTTCTAATTCTTGCTTCATCTTAGTAAATTCTTCCTTAGTCATGGATCCTTCTCCTT